TATAACTCTTGCGTACACAGTCTGCAAACCCAATCTGCATGTCACATTTGTCCACTAAGCGCATATTGAGGTTGTAGTCCATGACAGCTGCAGGCTTTAGAATGGGTTCATTGGTCTCTCTGTTGTCCCTGCCACTGGGTACCATTTCGTTTGTGTGAACTGATGTCAACAATGTGACATCACGTTGTCATGCCACAAAATGCCATGATGTCATGGCAGCAAAGGCTTGCACCTCACTCTGCGAGTGCCAGCGTCGAACCTTGGCATATGTTTGCGATTACCACGCACTGTGCCACACACGTCTGTCAAGTTCACTCGCAAGAAATCACTGAGTAAGGGGCTTGTGTACCAGTTATCAGTAAATAACATATGCCCCTTACCAAGATATGGTTCCATCATTGTTCGAACCACATCACCAGAGATACCCAATAACTTCATGGTATCTCTCAAAGTATTACTGCCAGTGTACACAATAATATCTAAAACAAGACCACTTCTGCAATCACACAGTACAAATAGCTTTATACCAAAGCGTTTCCTCTTGCTTGGTATATATTGCTTGAATGAGAGTCTTCCTTTGAATAAAATCAAGGACTCATCAATAACAAGCTCCTGAAGGGATAAAAATACATGCAGCACTTTTGTTTCAGGTACATAAACACATTTCTTATCTTATATAACCTGTCGCTTCTGTCAGGCCTGGTTTTGTCTGAAAAGTGTAACTAGCAACAGTATCAGGAAACGATTGACACTATAATGTCACTAAAACCTGGAGTTGAAATCAGGCGATCTGTTGTCCAGTATGTGGTGACAGTGTGCTTATACACATGTGGCATAAGCATTATTGTGGCAAAAAACAGGTACATCTCTGCCACAGTTTCTCCTTCCACTTGTGTAGCCGTGATTTTGGTGAGAGAATTGTATTGCCATGGTGTATTCACAGTATGTGTTGGTTTCCCTGACAATGATGTCCATCAGGGGTTCATCGAAGAATAACTCAAAGCAGTCCAGTTCACTGGCATTGTTCCCAAGTGGACAAGATGGCTTTATTCCACTTTGTGTTTCATCAAAGTCATGGGGATGGGGAACAAACTCGTCACCGTCCTGCCAATCCCAGATGCGGTCTGCTGGTGGGTCTGGATATTGTACCGTGGTTGTGGCTGTGGTTGTGGCTGTGCAGGTTGTGGTGGTGCAGGTGTGGCAGTGTGGGGTAGGGTGAGGCTGGTTGTTCTGCTGAGTCAGCCGCGTGGCTAGTAGCGTGGCCCGGTGATGGTGCCACATGGGCCGTGCCACCCTCACTATCACCACCACTGCCTCCTCCCTCACTGTCACCATTCATACCCATCGTTACAATATCGTCATCTTCACTATCAGGTCGTGGTGTTGGGCCACGGATGTGCTCCCAGAGTTTCTCCTTCCCCTTGGAACAACATATGAAACACTACCAGACCGCATGCTACGTCGTACATACTGGCGCTTCACTGGGGAATATTCACTCTCACTGTCACTAGAACTGCTTTCAATGACCTTGAAATCACTATCACTATCACTGCTATCATCAGGGTGTTGTACACAACCAAATAGTTTCCTCTTTCGTCCTGGTACAGGCGAACGTGAACGTGAACAAGCCGGCACAGCACCAGAGGTCGAAGGTTGTGGGTCATCTGGGTTTTCGTCACTATTTACGTTATCCTGGGCACTTTTTTCGGTAACACTCACTTGAAAACCCTTGAATTCACTGTCACTGACACTTTCATCGCTGTTAGAGCTATCACTTGGGAACAAAAGACCTCCAATCCGCCGAGGAGTGAGGAACTTCTTACCGAGAGGCATGGTGAAAATGGACTGACAACATGGCGTTCCCACAATGCACCGCTAGGTCCCAGATTTTTTTCACAGGGTGCACACCGACCACTGAGACCCATTCTCTCCCGTGTAGGCCTATCAGGCATTTGGCGCTCGATTTGAAGCCGCTAGAATTTGTGCGTATAAATACGTCAGAAACATTGGCTCGTAAGACGTATTTATACGTCGGAAACAGTCAAAGGGTTAAGGGTTAAGCAACAAAAACATTATAATTTTTATTTCTGTAAGATCTGGATGTCTAAAAAAAAGTCATTTGGCTTTTTGGGAGTCCCAGGAACATAACCCCATTTTTCTCCATAAGTTCTTTAGTTTATATAACACATTTATCTAACATGGCATTTTTTTTCAGGAACATAACTACAGTGTAACATAAGGGTCTACTGTAGTCAGAGAGGATCTAGGAATCATCACAGCGATATGAAAAAGACATGGAAAACCTTATCTGAAATTCTAGGATCAAAAAAGCTGTCACAAAACAGAATGATTAACTTAACTAAATATGATGAACCTCTTCTACAGCCAACCAATACTGCCAACAAGCTTAACCCTTTCAGGGTCGAGAGGCCCTTTCATAAACTTGTTCTCAGGGTCCGGGAAAAAAAAAAAAAAAAAAAAAAAAAATATTTTTTCTTACGAAATGACAGAGAATCTTTTCCCAATCATAATGACACAAAAAGTATGAAATTTGATGGAAAACTTACGGAATTATGCTTTCGCAAAGTTAGTGGTCTCGACGATGTTTAGGCATCGGCAATTTCGCCCACTTTGAGCCCTATTATCGGCCAATTCCAATGTACCAGTCAACAAAAATCATACCTATTTCACTAGAACTCCATTTTATCCACTGAATGAGTGCAAAAAACCACCCATTTACTGATTTCAACTAACCAATAACGTGGCCAGAAATTTTCAATTTTGCCAATTTCACACAAATTTCAAAAGATGCCAATTTCAAAATAGGGTCCAGAATAAACAAGACATTCTTGGCACTAAAATAACATTTCCTCTGTTCATTACTCACGTCCCCAGGCCTCTGTTACATTTCTTTTGCTTTCCACTTGAATTTTTATTCTCACAAACAATAGAAGATTTATGTTATGCAGACTACTGCATTCGCGTAGAAACAGTGTAGAAATGGTATAAATAATATCAGCGCACTTGTTAAAGAATATTAGACTCACCAGTTGACATGTATTGGACGCGTGGCATGATTTGTTTAACTTTGAACTTTGGTAAAAATCGAACATTTCTGCTATTTTGAGCTCAATTTCAAGGTACTTTTCATTGTGGAAACAATCAAAATCATCCCAATTTCCATAATATGTCTTCCATTCTATAAAATGAGACCTAGAAAACTAGAATACAACCATAAATAGCATACAAAAATACACTGCAAAGTCAATGTTTTAAACCAAAAAAAAATGGTCCGAGTTTTTTTTCTCATCATGCACTGTGTGCTGCAGGATTTTTTTTATACTGCGCACACTAACCACATAGACCCATTCTTTCATATGTAGGCCTACCAGCTTTCTATTGCTAGATTTGAAGGCGCTAGAATTTATGCGTACTAGAGCGGCACCAACCCTGGCATGCAAGCCGTACTAGTACGGCACCAACCCTGAAAGGGTTAAAGGAAGGGCTTGGGATATTGGCAGTCTGGACGGACGTCTAAGGTGTCTTATCTGAGCATCTCTGCAAAGACAGTGATTACGTATGAGTGATAGTGAAAGTGTTGAATTATGATCAAAGTTTTTTCTTCCTTTCCGAGTTTTTCTTTTTTTTGGGTCACCCTGCCTTGGTGGGAAATGGCCAAAACTAAACAATAATAAACACCTGAAAGTTGCTATTTTAAACTAAATATAAGCTTTTTCTATTATGCACTGAAAGAGGCAGAATTATTTTTATACTATGCACACCCACTGTACAGGCCTGGTCTCTCATGTCTAGGCCAAAATTTACAGCTCAAAGCATATTTGAGGGCACTGTGTTAAACTGCAGATCTACATGGAAGATAGTGAAAGGGTTAACCCTTTGAGAGTCGACAGGTCCTCTCCCAAACCTGTTCTCAGGGTCGAAAAATTTTTGAAAACAAAATTTTCATATGAAATGAGTTTTTTTTTGTGAGTATTATAGGCTAAAAAAACATTTTTGCAATCAACACTTTCGGAGATATGGAGGCGGGAAGTTGAAAGAAATTGAACCACTTACGGCAACATTGCCAACTGCTGGTCACCTGGTAATACATAGTTTATTTTGTTTTTTCTTTTTTCTTTTATTTTTCAATATTTTATTTTTTCAAGTAACTTTTATGGCCTCTGAGACAATATAAAGACTATTTGGTATACATTCACTCATTGTATACTACACAACAACAGCACAAACTTTACTGTCATCATATTGCTTACAAAACATTACACAAACCAACAATAAAATATGTTGTTTATTACTATTTTTCTATCATATATAAACACATATACAGTTACTGGACAGGTTCCTGTAACTACAAGAGGTTCTGAAAGCTTGTAGTTGTGTGTGGGTAGACTTATAAATATGCTGAGCCACCTGTGTGTCGTGTGTCACAAAGATGCATCATACCACCACTCACTAACCCTCACTGCCTTCCACAACACATCCCTTCCTCCCAACACACCTACCTACCTTCTTTCCTTCCTTCCTTCCCTCCTACCTATCTTCCCTCTTTCCTTCCTTCCTTTCATCTCTTCCTACCTACCTTCCCTCCTTCCTTCCTTTCTTCAAGTAACTTTTATGGCCTGTGAGACCAATATAAGGTATATTGAATGTATATTCGCTCGTATGCTACATAATAACCACACACAGTCATTATATTGTTTACAAAACATGTTTACACAAACCAGCAATAAAAAATATTTATTACTATTTTTCTATGATATATATACATATATAAAGTCACTAGACACTTCCCAGAACTGCTACACTAGAATTTATGAACACTAGCACGTCAATAACCCTGGCGCGTAAGATGTACTAGCACATCAAAAACCCTGAAAGGGTTAAAACAAAAGATTGAGTACAAGTACAGCTTTGCTCCTCTAGTTACAAACTGGCAATCAAAATATTACAGAAAATACTAGACTCTTAAAGAATTAACTTACATGCACAATTTCTTGCCACAATGCAGTGTTATTCACATGATCGTTATTAAAGCGATACACCCTCTCTTGGTAATATTTCAAGAGCTGTCTTTCAATAGGCATAGTCCATTTTTCTGAAAAGGAAAAAATACATTAACAACTGTTTCCTATATTTATCACAAAAACAATATTCAAAGCATAATTTTTTTACAGAAAATATTGGCTATTTAACAAATGAAAGTGTTATAAAGCACAACTAGGTAGTAGGTTGGTAGACAGCAACCACCCAGGGAGTACTACCGTCCTGCCAGATGACTGTGAAACAGAAAACCTGTAACTGTTTTGCATGATGGTAGGATTGCTGGTTTCTTTTTCTGTCTCATAAACATGCTACATAACAGGGATATCTTGCTACACCTACTTACACTTTGGTCACACTTCACAGAAACGCACATGCATATACACCTACCATCCGACTTACGACCAAGCTTGTTCCGACCAACCGGTCGTAAGTCAAAATGGACGTAAGTCGAATCTTTGAAAATTGCCAACATACTGGGTAGGGCCTAATGTCAAACTTTTCCTTTATAAACTACCTACATAGTACTGTAATGTACAATCATTATTTCATTCTTTTTACCATAATTTACTTCTATTGTTATATTTTAATTATTTATGTACTGTATATAATGTATATATGGTAGTGAACTGTATTGTAAATTTTACATCGCATACAGTATCAGGTAGTATACAGTATACAGGTAGACAGAAGAAACACACAGGTAGACTGAAAGACACACAGGTAGACAGAAACACACACACAGGTAGACAGAAAGACACACACAGGTAGACAGAAAGACACACACAGCGCAAGACATAGACACAGGTAGACAGACAGATACACAGATATACAGGCAGACAGATACAGACAGGTTTATGTGCAACAGTGAAAAATAGAGAGTTCGAGAGTAAGAGCCTTTCTTGCCACAATCTCCAGTGCAAGATTCAGACTTCATCTTAGGGGCCATGGTGAAATTTACTGTCCAGTTAGTACAGTTAATACAGTATGATGCTGCTGATAGGGCAGGGTAACTCAAACTGAGCTGCCTGCATGACTCATTGCCGCCGCGAGTGTTTTTCAAATATTGTACAGTGGTGTGCATCAGCCGGCCCAGCCCAGCTGCCAGATGCACAGTCATAAGTCTAGTGGACGTATGTCGAGCAGGTCGTAAGTCGGATGGTAGGTGTATATATACATACGTCTAGGTTTTTCTCTTTTTTCTAAATAGCTCTTGTTCTTCTTTACTTCTCTATTGTCCATGGGGAAGTGGAAAAGAATCTTTCCTCCGTAAGCCATGCGTGTCGTATGAGGCGACTAAAATGCCGGAAGCGATGGGCTAGTAACCCCTTCTCCTGTAGACATTTACTAAAAAAGAGAAGAAGAAAAACTTTATAAAACTGGGATGCTTGAATGTGCGTGGATGTAGTGCAGATGACAAGAAACAGATGATTGCTGATGTTATGAATGAAAAGAAGTTGGATGTCCTGGCCTAAGCGAAACAAAGCTGAAGGGGTAGGGAGTTTCAGTGGGAGGAAATAAATAGGATTAAATTTGGAGTATCTGAGAGAGTTAGAGCTAAGGAAGGGTAGCAGTAATGTTGAAGGATCAGTTATGGAAGGAGAAAAAAGAGAATATGAATGTGTAAAATTCAAGAATTATGTGGATTAAAGTAAAGGTTGGATGTGAAAAGTGCTTCATAGTAAGTGTGTATGCACCTGGAGAAGAGAGGAATGTAGACGAGAGAGAGAGAGAGTTTTTGGGGAGATGTTAAGTGAATGTATAGGAACCTTTGAACCAAGTGAGAGAGTAATTGTGGTAGGGGACCTGAATGCTAAAGTAGGAGAAACTTTTAGAGGGGGTGTGGGAGGTAAGTTTGGGGGGCCAGGTGTAAATGATAATGGGAGCCCTTTGATTGGACTTTGTATAGACAGGGGTTTAGTTATAGGTAAATACATATTTTAAAAAAAGAGGATAAATAAGTATACAAGATATGATGTAGGGCAAAATGACAGTAGTTTGTTGGAATATGTATTGGTAGATAAAAGACTGTTGAGTAGAATTTAGGATGTACATGTTTATAGAGGGGCCACAGATATATCAGATCACTTTTTACTTGTAGCTACACTGAGAGTAAAAGGTAGATGGGATACAAGGAGAATAGAAGCATCAGGGAAGAGAGAGGTGAAGGGTTTTTAAACTAAAAGAGGAGGCAGTTAGGGTAAGATATAAACAGCTGTTGGAGGATAGATGGCCTAATGAAAGCATAGGCAAGGGGGTCAAAGAGGTATGGGGTAGGTTTAAAAATGTAGTGTTAGAGTGTTCAGCAGAAGTTTGTGGTTACAGGAAAGTGGGTGCGGGAGGGAAGAGGAGCGATTGGTGGAATGATGATTTAAGAGAGTAGTAAGGGAGAAAAAGTTAGCATATGAGAAGTTTTTACAAAGTAGAAGTGATGCAAGGAGGGAAGAGTATATGGAGAAAAAGAAAGAGGTTAAGAGAGTGGTGAAGCAATGTTAAACGAGAGCAAATGAGAGAGTGGGTGAGATGTTATCAACAAATTTTGTTGAAAATAAGAAAAAGTTTTGGAGTGAGATTAACAAGTTAAGGAAGCCTACAGAACAAATGGATTTGTCAGTTAAAAATAGGAGAGGAGAGTTATTAAATGGAGAGTTAGAGGTATTGGGAAGATGGAGGGAATATTTTGAGGAATTGTTAAATGTTGATGAAGATAGGGAAGCTGTGATTTCGTGTATAGGGCAAGGAGGAATAACATCTTGTAGAGTGAGAAGAGCCAGTTGTGAGTGTGGGGAAGTTCGTCAGGCAGTAGGTAAAATGAAAGAGGGTAAGGCGCCGGGATTGATGGATAAAGATAGAAATGTTAAAAGGAGGTGGGGATATAGTTTTGGAGTGGTTGGTGCAATTATTTAATAAATGTAATGGAAGAGGGTAAGGTACCTAGGGATTGCAGAGAGCATGCATGGTTCCTTTGTATAAAGGCAAAGGGGGCAAAGGGGACAAAAGAGAGTGCAAAAATTATAGGGGGATAAGTCTGTTGAGTATACCTGGTAAAGTGTATGGTAGAGTTATTATTGAAAGAATTAAGAGTAAGACGGAAAATAGGATAGCAGATGAACAAGGAGGCTTTAGGAAAGGTAGGGGGTGTGTGGACCAGGTATTTACAGTGAAACATATAACTGAACAGTATTTAGATAAGGCTAAAGAGGTTTTGTTGCATTTATGGATTTGGAAAAGGCGTATGACAGGGTGGATAGGGGGGCATGTGGCAGATGTTGCAGGTGTATGGTGTAGAGGTAGGTACTGAAAGCATGAGAGTTTTTACGAGGATAGTGAGGCTCAAGTTAGAGTATGTAGGAAAGAGGGAGATTATTTCCCCAGTAAAAGTAGGCTTTAGACAAGGATGTGTGATGTCACCGTGGTTGTTTAATATATTTATAGATGGGGTTGTAAGAGAAGTAAATGCGAGGGTCTTCGCAAGAGGCATGAGTTAAAGATAAAGAATCACACAAAGTGGGAGTTGTCACAGTTGCTCTTTGCTGATGACACTGTGCTCTTGGGAGATTCTGAAGAGAAGTTGCAGAGATTGGTGGATGAATTTGGTAGGGTATGCAAAAGAAGAAAATTAAAAGTGAAAAACAAGAAAGAGTAAGGTTATGAGGATAACGAAAAGATTAGGTGATGAAAGACTGGATATCAGATTGGAGGGAGAGAGTATGGAGGAGGTGAATGTATTCAGATATTTGGGAGTGGACATGCCAGCGGATGGGTCTATGAAAGATGAGGTGAAAACATAGAATGGATGAGGGGAAAAGGTGAGCAGTGCACTTAAGAGTCTGTAGAGACAAAGAACTTCCTTGGAGGCAAAGAGAGGAATGTATGAGAGTATAGTTTTACCAACACTCTTATATGGGTGTGAAGCATGGGTGATGAAGTTGCAGCGAGGAGAAGGCTGGAGGCAGTGCAGATGTCATGTCTGAGGCAATATGTGGGGTGTATATACTCCAGAGAATTCGTAGTTTGGAAGTTAGGAGGAGGTGCGGATTACCAAAACTGTTGTCCAAAGGGCTGAGGAAGGGTTGTTGAGGTGGTTCGACATGTAGAGAGAATGGAGCGAAACAGAATGACTTCAAGAGTTTATCAGTCTGTAGTGGAAGGAAGGTGGGGTAGGGGTCGGCCTAGGAAAGGTTAGAGGGAGGGGGTAAAGGAGGTTTTGTGTGCGAGGGGGTTGGACTTCCAGCAGGCGTGCGTGAGCGTGTTTGATAGGAGTGAATGGAGACAAAGGGTTTTTTTAATGCTTGACGTGCTGTTGGAGTGTGAGCAAAGTAAGATTTATGAAGGGGTTCATGGAAACCGGCAGGCCGGACTTGAGTCCTGGAGATGGGAAGTACAGTGCCTGCACTCTGAAGGAGGGGTGTTAATGTTGCATTTTTAAAAACTGTAGTGTAAAGCACCCTTCTGGCAAGACAGTGATGGAGTGAACGATGGTGAAAGTTTTTCTTTTTCGGGCCACCCTGCCTTGGTGGGAATTGGCCAGTTTGTTAATAATAATAAAAAAAAATAAAGCACAATTTTTCCTGAGTCCAACATGGGTGGAAGTAGGTAATACAGTGGAACCTCGACTTAAGAGTGCCCCAACATACGATTTTTTCAAGATACAAGCCTTCGCTTGGTTGATTTTTTGCTCTGAGTTAAGAGCAAAATCCGACTTACGAGCCAAAATCCGAGTTATGAGCAAGCTTCCCCCTCAACCCACAACCCTCACACCTCTCTTATGTTTATCTCAGATTTCATGCTTTAATTCCATAAGCATCAACCTCTTTTTCTTCTCAGCATTGTCCTATGCACTTACTTACTGTTAACATATATACTGAGTCACCGGCCTAATTACTGTCACAATGACAAATAACACCACCACTCACCACCATCACTGCCTGTCAACACCCATCCCTTCCTCCCCACCCCACCAACCCACATGGAAATAAGTCACTGTCTGAATTTTTTGAGTTATCCTAGGTTGATGGTCTCCTTCCTTACTTCCCTATTTCCTTCCTT